AACTGAGCTCTACTGAATGATGGTCACTGCTCTTAACAAGATCATCCTAGTTCTTCCTGTGCTCCCCTGCTCAGTCTTTACAGGCCTTCCAGTTTCTACAGCGAATGAGGCAGGAGTCATACAGGCAACAGCCTGATGCTGCACAACCCAGATCTATCCATCCTGGGCACTGAAAGTGGCCAGGGCCCTGCAGTAAAAATAATTCACTAGAAAACTTAATTTTAGTGGCCAGACAATCTGGTTCCCATGTGGCTAAATGGAGCCTGTCTTCTGGGTCTATAGATCCGCAGAGTTTTAAGACCCAAAGAAGTCATTGTGATCATCTGCTTCTCCCCTCACCAAAGGGATCCCTCCTGCTAAATGAAGTTGCAACTCCCCTCTCTGCCCCATCTTCTCTGCCCCATCTTCTATGTACAGAGTCTCCATAGGGGTACTTGACTGGCTGGAACTGGGGTCCTTACAGAAAAACCTACTACAGAAGCCCTGGATTTCAACCTTCTTCCTAATAATGTATCGTAGCTTCCAGGACTGTCTCCCACAGTTAGGGTGACCAGATGTCCCGAATTTATAGGGACAGTCCTGATTTTGGGTCTTTTTCTTATATAGGCTCCTATTACCCCCACCCCCTGTCCTGATTTTTCACATTTGCTGTCTGATCACCCTACCCACAGAGCCCAGAGTCACTGGTGCTGTTACACACCATGACTAAGGCTATAGGATCCTGCCCAGCTCTCTCAACAGACATCTACTCTCCTCTTTACAGCTTTTACCTTTGTACCTTGGGGGCAAATCACCTCAGAGTTCTCCTGCTTCTCAGGGAGGCTGTTCCCTGCATTCCTAATTGAATTCCTTGCAGCCCTGCCCAGCCTCTCCTAACTAGCTACCCAGCCCATCCCCTGGTTCTCAGAGGGAACTCCTCAGCACATGAAGATGCTGATTTCTCCCTACAGTTGCTGGAAGGAGAATCCCTTCTAAGGAAAAACACCTGGTCCCTTCCATACAAGCTCCATCTGCCATGATCTCATCTGGCCTTCCTGAGGAGCGGTGGTACCCAGTTATAGTCTCCTCAGAAAGCCCCAGATCTACTCTCTACTCTCACACTACACTAGTGGCATAGCTAGGACAGGAAATCTGGTTGGGCCCCAGCTTTCGGGGGGTGGGCAGTGACGGAAGGGGCACAGGGAGGGGTGCAGGAGGGATCCAGTGCCCTGGAGAGGGGGCAGATGGGAGGGGGGCCTTTCCTCCCTCCGCCCCTTCCAGACGGCCCTTACTGCTCAGCAGGCACCCAAAGCTGGGGCTGCCCTGGGCACTCAGGCTGCGGGACGTGCCTAGAGTAACCAGATAGCAAATGTGAAAAATTGGACAGGTGTTGGGAGGTAATAGGCTCCTATATAAGAAAAAGCCTCAAACATAAGGACTGTCCCTATAAAGTCGGGACATCTGGTCACCCTACGGTGAAGGGAGGTCCCGCTGGGGCTCGAGCTCCACCCACCCTTCCCAACCCTGGCTCAATATCCGTCAGCCCAACCGCATCCCTTTCCTGCCGGCACTGGGAGCTGCTGCCCCAGTTTCCAGCCCCAGCACTAGCCCCGCCCAGATCTGCCCCCGCAAGGCACACCCCCCGCTGGGCTAGCGCTGGGGTCAGAGACCAGCAGGAGAGAGACAGGGCCAGGCTGACGGACACTGAGCTGGGGTTGGGAGTCCCAGCCTGTGGATTTGGGGGGCTCCAGCCCTGATTGGGTGGGCCTGGATGCAAACTGGGTGGGCCACAGCCCACCCGTGGTTACACCCCTGCACTACACTAGCTGCACACAAGCATTCTCCTGGTCCAGTTTTAGGGCAAACTCCTGGCTCTGTTGAAGTCAATGGAGGTTTTAGCATTGCCTTCAGTGGGGCCAGGATTTCACTCTTAGCCTTGAAATGTTATTTGGCTACCAAGATCCTTGAGCTGTTTGGATCCAGTGCACACACACTGCACCTGTCAGGTCGCCATACTAGTACATACTGTACCTGACACAGCCAGTGGGTGTGCCCTGCACTGACTCTGCTGTTGTCTTTTAACATTGTCAGTCTCTCCTGGCTGCACCTGGGTCTGAACTCAGTGAGTAATTCCTAACTTACCACCTTGCTGTAGGACTCACTGATTCTGAGACACGTGCAAAGACTGAGATTCACATCCCAAGGGAGTCACAATATTCACCAACAGAGAACATCCCCTTCCCCTGCTTAGTGTGGTGTGAATTGATCAGCTGGAATCTCACGTTGGACTCAGAGATGACACCACACTTCAGGGGACAGCTCCAGTCAGAACCACCAGTGCCAGGAACTATCTAACACTAGGAGCTCCTGCACTGGACCCAGGTGAACCAAGAAAGTTGCCACCTACTGAGCAAAGATCAGAGGGAACTAAGGGAATTTACCAACAATAACCTGTTCCTGACCACCATGAACCCAGCTCTTCCATTGGCCAAACTACCTCAAGGCAAACTTGCCTAAATCATTCATGACCCACCTGCTAAGTGCTTGTGCAGACACCATTCACTGGCTTCCAGGCATTTAAGCCTGGATAAAGGGACTACAAACCTCAGTAGCCATTCCACAAGCACACACAGAGACTATTTTCCCAATCAGTAACCTGCAGGAATTCCCTCGCTCACTCATTTACAAGGTCTGTTGGCAAGCCCCTCTGTCAAGCTCAGAGTGTTACAATCCTTATAGGATCTTCCACTTATAGATTCAAAAGAATAAGTGTCTTCTGACAGAGGTTGTTCCCTTTAACACTGTGATACACTCTGACCACTGGCTTATACCTTCTTATTGAGAAACAGTCCATAATTTCATGCACACTCTGTATTATTTTTAGTGTATAACAAGGAGTGTTATTCAGTGTGTTTCCCATCTCTCCTGAGCCCAGGTCGCTCTGAATCACTCAGACTGCTGAATGGAGAGAGCAGGTGCGATGGGAGAGTTGAGATTTCCCTCCATGGTGTGTGGGGCAGAGTGCTGGATGACCAGTGGGACATGAATGATGCCAGCGTGGTGTGCAGGCAGCTCCAGTGCGGAGTCGCAGAGAAATCTTATAACCCCCCTAAGTCTGAGCGAGGAACGGGCCCTGTGGGGCTGAGAAGGGTCCAGTGTGCAGGAAATGAGACTCGTCTGACTCTCTGTGACAACTCCACGTCTGAGACAGCCCAGGCAGGAATTGCTGAGGATGTCGGTGTCATTTGTTCAGGTGATTCCTTTCCAAATCTCACAAACATTTTCTGTTCAGTGGGAAAATACATATTAACAGCTGGGATCTATCCCTGCAGGGAGCAGGCAGATCAGACTGGTGAATGGGGCAGGTCGTTGTGCCGGGAGAGTGGAGATTTATTACAATGGCAGCTGGGGGACAGTCTGTGATGATTTCTGGGATCTGTCAGACTCCAATGTCATTTGCAAACAACTGGGATGTGGACATGCCATCAATGCAACTGTCTCTGCTCATTATGGGCAAGGATCCGGGCAGATCTGGCTGGATGATGTGAACTGCTCTGGGAACGAATCCGATCTCTGGACGTGTCCTTCCAGGGGCTGGGGCCAGCACAACTGTAGACACAAAGAGGATGCAGGAGTTCTCTGTTCAGGTCTGTTCTGTGAGTGCTCTTGTGAGCCGTGTTACCAGGGGATTTAATGGAGCGGGCAGATGTTTAAGGAGATCGTTGAGAATGATACTTTCCCTGGCTGTCTCTGCCTCCCTTTCCCTTGTGTAACTACCTACCAGGGTCACCATTAGAAAGTCCTCAGCTCCCATCCAGAGGTATTGGAGATATTGGAAGATTTCCCTAATGTTACAATCCTGCATCCCAGATATCAGAAGGAGACTGTATAATGGAAACCAGTGACTGAAAAGGATGTAGGGTCCTAGTGGAGAAATAACTGAACATGAGCTCCCAGTGCCGTGTGTGACAAAATGGGCTAATGCAAACCTTGGATGTATAAACAGGGGAGTAGTGATAGGAGTGGGGACTAAATTTTACTGTTGTACATGGTACTGGTGAGACAGATACTGGAATACTGTGTCCAGTTCTGATGGCCACAAAAATTGGAGAGGGAGCAGAGAAGAGCCACAAAAGTGATCTGATGAATAAAAGCCTTACAGTGAGAGATTTAAGATGCTGAATCTATTTA